AGAGACAGGGCCTCCCTGTATTGTCCAGGCTGGTCTAGAACTCCTGGGCTCAAGAGATCCTCCCACCTCAGCCTCCCAAAGTGCTGGGATTACAGGTGTGTGCCACCATGCCCAGTGTGTTATTTTAAATAAAATCCCAGGCATCATATCTTGTAAAGCTTTTTTTTTTGAGACAGAGTCTTACTCTGTCACCCAGGCTGGAGTGTAATGGCTCCATCTTGGCTCACTGCAACCTCTGCCTCCCAGGTTCAAGTGATTCTTGTGCCTCAGCCTCCCGAGTAGCTGGGATTACAGGCTCACGCCACCATGCCCAGCTAATTTTTGTATTTTTAGTAGAGAGGGGGTTTTGCCATGTTAGCCAGGCTGGTCTTGAACTCCTGACCTTAAGTGATCCTCCCATCTCAGCCTCCCAAAGTGCTGGGATTACGGGTATGAGCCACCACGCCTGGCCTAAAGCAATTTTTGTAAGTCGTGAGTGTCCCTGTCTCCCTCTCCTGACCCCAGGGCCACCAAGTTACTGATTCCTCTGTCCTCCCAGAGATGCTCCTGTCGGTGGAAGCACATGTGGACAATTGTCTCTGTTTTCACAACTGACTTTCCAAGTGGCCTTCCTCACTCAGCCGTAGGTCTTGCAGGTTATTGCCGATAGCCACACATTTAGGGGTCCCCGGAGCTATGTGCAGGCCAGGTAGAATATCCAGGCTCAGCCCATCTCACTGAAGCCCCTGGGGACAGCAAGAGGGTCCCTGGGATAAAGGCTTCATCTTAGTGACCTCCTAATTCCTTCCCCACGGGATCCTGGGCCTGTCAATCAAGAGGTGGAGGCCTATGGGGCGGGGACTAGGGAATGAGGAACCACCCCCACCCCTGCTCCAGCCCTGGGCGGGGGTGGGGGCTGCCCAGGGGCAGAAGTGTGCATGGCAGTGCCCTGGGAGCAGGCCAGCCTGGGAGGGCAGCAGCCCTGTCTGGGCACACAGCGCCCGGCCACAGGTAGGAGCCCAGCCACCCCCACCTGGGGTCTGGGCAAGACCAGCAGGGACTGGGGCTAGGAGGCGATTTCTGGCAGACCTGGGTGGCTGCTGGTGCGTGGGGGGACAAGTGTGGGCCACACAGAGGAGGTGGCTTGTGTGGCCCTCTCATATCAAACATCGCGTGTACCCAGAGGGCAGAGCGCAATGGTACCACCAAGACAGCAGCTCTCGTTGCCCCCAAGAGCCTCCCACTGGGGAGGCCCAGCTGGAAACCCAGGGAGGGGACCAGAACTCTATGGAGGCAGGAGGCTTGGTGAGGGGGGCTCAGGGAGGCAGCCAGAGGCAGAGGAGCTCAGGGAGGGGATGGCAGGTCAGGTCCATGGAGGGGACAGAGGCTAGGGAGGGACTTGGGCCCTGGTGAGCAGCTTGGGCTGGGAAGAATCTTCTCTCAAGGCAGGGTGGATTCTTGAGACAGGCCTGGGCAGCGATGGTAAGGGGGTGGCTGGTGACTCAGGGATGAGAGGGGCTTGCTGCGCCATGACGCCTGCCCGGGCCCCAGGGAGTGGGCTGCAGCTGTGAGCAGGGAGGAGCCCTAGGCCCTCAGCAGCCTGGGGCCAGGCAAAGCGTGAGGCTGATTCTAGAGCCAGGGCCTCGGGGGCCTAGTGACAGGACCTGTGGACCTGGGAGATGGGGGAGCAGCAGTGACCACTCGCCATCTCCCACCTGTTCCCCCTTTTTTTGAGACAGAGTCTTGCTCTGTCGCCCAGGCTGGAGTGCAGTGGCATGATCTTGGCTCACTGCAACCTCCACCTCCCGGGTTCAAGCAATTCT